CTGCTGCTGCAGTTGCTGCTACGCCTTTGTCTGCTGCTGCAGCAGCTGGGGGCCCCCCCTGTCTGTACCATGGCTATAAGAAACGCGGGGCCCCTCTGGGGCCCCTACAAGCATTTTGAATTGAATTTAAGTTGCTAGGAGGGGCATTTCACTCGGCTGCTGCAGGCGGTGCTGCAGGCTAGCGGAGGAGGGGGGGCCCCCCAGGGGGCCCCCTTCGTGCTGCCGTACCCTTCAGTGCTGCTATGTATGGGCTTGCTGGCTGCTAGCGTGTGTGCAGCTAATAGTAATATAAAAAGCGGAAACTAAAACGAAATAAAAAGTATATTGCAGAGGAATATTTAAAATGACTGAAATATAGCTCCAGCTACACAGGAAAGCGATGCAGCAGCTGGGGTGTACAGGCAGCTCAGCTCGTGTGGCGGTCAGGTGGTTTCACACGGATGAGCTGCGGTGGTGCGTGTGTTTGTTGTGTATTTTGTTGGTATTTATATAAAATTATTTGGGAATTGTTTTTTTAAAATAATTATTTTTAATTTAATAAAAAATAAAACGGAATTATACGCTGCTGCTGCCTTACCTGCAGCTCACACAGGACAGCGTGGTTCGCTGCTGAGTACGGGCGGTGCGTGGGGGCTGCTGCAGCAGCTAGAGAAGAGAAAAAGCAGAAAGTGTGTAGAATACAAAAAGAATAATAAATTGAATTTACTTGGAGATATTTTTAATTGCAGGATCACTTTGTTTTTCTCGTTCCTGCTGTTGCTGCTTCTGCTGCAGCATGACTGGTGCAGCCAGTCAGCCGCAGCAGCAGCAGCAGCAGCAGCAGCAGCAGCAGCAGCTTCCCTTCCCTCGCACACAGCCAGCTGCAGCACGAGGCGCTCTGCTGACGCTGCAACATTTGCTTTGTTGTTGTGGCTTGTAGAAGTGTGTTTCTTGTCTATTTATTGTTTTTATTTGTAGCTAGTTGCAACGAACTCTCTTTTTTCTTATAAACAAAAAAATGGGTGAGGAGGCCGATACCCAGGGGTGGGATGTATCCGTCAAGGAGTGGCTCGTTGATACCGGCAGGGTCTATGCAGGCGGCGTAGCCAGCGTGAGTAGTGGTTGCTGCTGCTGCAGTATTTCTGTTGCTGCTGCTGTTGCTGCTGCTTTCTTGCTGCTGCAACACATACTCTTTTCCTGCATACGCCTGTATCTCCTGCTGCGCTGAAACCTCTATCACAAACAGCAGCAGCAGCAGCAGCAGCAGCAGGGGAGGGAGGCCGGGCGAGCCAGCTGCCTCAACTCTCTCCTTTTCTTTGCATGCGTGTGCATATACCTGGTGTGGCTTCTTCTCTCTACCTCTTTATTTCCTGTTTCTGCTCTTTCTCTCTCGGGGTCCTGTTGTTGTTGCTGCTTCCACTCGTGCTGCTGCTGCTGCTGCTGCTGCTGCAGCAGCAGCTGGAGCGGCAGCACGTGCTGCTGTTGCTGTTTCCTGTTGCCTGTTTCTACACCCCTCTGAGGCGTATCTGCTGCTGTATTTACTTTAGTAGTAACTGCTGTTCCTTGCCAGCTGCTGTAACTTGGGGTGTATGCATGGAGATGTCAGTGAGCCGTCTGTATGTGTGTTTTGTTTTATTATTTCACTATTATTTTTCTTTATTTTACGAGTATATATAATATGTCTTGTTGCTGCACTTCATCTTTTATATCTTTTTCTTAGATGGCTGACGTTCAAGGTGAATATCTGCGTAGTAATTTTTTTAGTATTTCTTTGTCTTGTTCCTTTGTTCTTTGTTTGTGATAGAATTTCTGCTTATGTTTGTTGTTTTTTTTTTGTTTTTTTTTTCTTAGATTGCAGATGGCTGCCGCATGTTCGGTGCCGCCATCGACAACGATGAAAGCCCCTGGAGTCAGCTGGTGAAGAGCGGCTACCAAATAGAGGTTCTGCAAGAGGACGGATCTTCTACCCAGGTTG